ATACAAGCTTTGGGATCTGTGTGCTGGTGGCCACCAGCTGCTTGGTGTGGTCGCCAGAGTAGAGCCGAGGTCTACAACACGAGAGAGTGCAGTACCTGTCTGTTCACACTGGTTCACAAGGAGAAACAACTGTTCAATACACCCGCGGCGGCGGCCAATCTACGGAAGAAGACTGTGCTGGGCCTCTGCGGATCTTTTCCTTCTGATTTCATGACTGGGCCGACTGCACAGGACACTGGTTCCCGGGAACCCTTTACAATCCTAACAACCCCTAGGATCCCGAGATGCTTTGTTTACGTTCTGTCAGCATGCGTTATGTCAGACATTAAAACCAAAATTTAAAAACCATTCATTTAAAAATAACCACAGTTTGTCTACCACTCGTTACCACAGGTAATAGCATTTTTGTGAAAATAACTGTATTGTCACGAGGAAACAACCTAGCGAGGAGAGTGGCCCGGTGTTTCCTCTCTGCGGGTCCCCAGCGTGGCCCGGCGGACGGCAGCTGGTGCCCCTACCGCTTCGGTCTGCAATCCGCTGCCGGGCCGCTTTGTCTGAAGTCAGGGAGGAACGTCTGTTTTCACACAGAGTCGCAGCTGGAAAACGAAGCAGCACTCGGGCAACCTTTTCAAATAGTTCTGGGGAGTCCTCTTCTATGCTACACCAAAACTCAGCAAAGGCTGCCTTCTGACACCTCGTGGTTGCAACATGGAGGAGGAGACCGTGTCGGTGACCTTTCGTGCTGTTGCATTGAAACCCGTTGGTCCAGCTGGTAGGATGGACCTTTAACTCAGGCATGATTGTACCCCATCCTACTTGGTTGGTCACTTGGAAAATGCTGGTTCCCTGAGTCACGCAGAGCCTCCGAGGGTCAGTACGTCTGTCGCACGATATCGGAAACCCTCCGGGGTCGCCCGCTTTTCAGAAAAACCTGTGAAGAGTCAGGAAGCTGTCAGCTCATGGTGGCAGATACAAGTTTTCTAAACAACATATGTTTTTCCTTGAAAGCTCAAATTAGTTGTTGATAATAAATACTTCCAGTTGTTACCTTGAAGCGACGGGCTGGCCTAGCTTGTTTTGGAAAAGAATGTCTGTCCAATAAGCAAGTGTAAATGAGCAGACCAGTAACACTACGTCTCATGGACGAAGCAGCCGGTTCCGCTCCCAACTCAGGCCCGCAGTGTTTGAGTTCAGGACAGATGCTGTCCTTCGTCACACAGCCGCAAAGCGGCGTGTGTGCCTCCCCTTCTGCCGCACGGAATACTAAAAGGACAGCATCACGGGTTAAAATGTAATACAAGGAATAGTTTTACTGCTTCGTCAAAAAGAATCTTAAGCGACCCTGACATTGGTGGCCACGGAAATGACAATAACTACCGGGACTGTTTGCTGCCACCGATTCGTGCCAAGGTGCCAGCATCATACCCTCCACTGCCTTTGTACTAACAGTGCGAGGTCAACACCTAGGAAGGCTGAGGCCGGCTCGCAGTCCACAGGATGCTGACTTTGGCCTTGCGATGGCCCCTCCCGGGGCGAGGACCAGACGGGACTGCAGCCTTAAGGCGCAGGCTTGAACTAGGACTTCTCCTAAGAGACGGAAATTATACTCTTAATTTTACAATAGGTTTCTACTTCTCCTTTTCCCCCAGTTGACTATTTATGCATTTCATAGTTTAAAAGTAAATTCGGATGTAAATAAGGCAAATCTCTGCCAAACACTCGAATATGATATACAACCTAATCCTCACAAAATACCTGTTAGTCAGCTATAATTTGTTCCATTTTTATACTTAACACACACACAACACACACACACTGAAGCTCAGTGAGGTTAACCTATTTGTCTCACAGCAAATAATTATCAGTCTGGAATTAAATGCAAGTCTGTCTGAGTAAATAATGCAAGTTCTATCCAACAGGGCACATGGCGCGAGTCTCTCAAAACACATTGAAGATATTTACATACACACACACACACACACACACACACAACTATTGGTTCTACCAATGTGATGTGTGTGTGTGTGTATTTGCAAAGACAGGTATATTGATATTTGCAAATCCTGATGTACAGGGCTATTTTTAGAAACTCTTATGAAAGTACCCTCCCAGAGCTCTTACAGAACTTTTCCCATAGATTTGGTCTATCACTACCTGGCTGAACTAAGTCACTTTCCCATCTTTTGGGCTCAATTTCTTCCCAATGGCTATGTTCAAGTACTGTCAGCCCTGGTTTACTGGACTCCCCACCACCCTGTGAGATTCATGGGGTAGATTCTGTGGCCCCCATGGTGACCCTCTGAGACCCTCACAGACTTCTCTGCCTTTCCCTCCCTCAGTGTTAAGACCAGTATCTCACATAAGAAAAACAAAAGTACAACTACTGAAAAACTGCCTTTGTTATAAGCCCCCCTTCCCCAGGGCCCAAGCAAGGTGCCTGAGCTTCCGTCCTGTGTCCTCCGGCTACTGTCCGGATCCTTCACACACCCAGACTCGTCGACCACAGCTGTTCGGTCAGGATCACTGAGACCTTTTGCAGAGTAGCTGTGGCTTTCAGTCTGGTGGTCTGATCTCCCTGGGACATCTGACCCTGGTCATCGGTCCCTTCCTACAGTGGCTTCCTCACCCTGCTCTCTTCTGAGGCTCCTCCTCCCTCGCTTGGCTCCACCTCTTTCTCTCACCAGCGGCTCCTCCTCCACCCACCCCAGCACGTGGTCTTCCGCCTCCTTCCAGCCTCCAGACTTCTCTTCTTGCCCCGCAGCTTCAAGGATGCTGATGACTCCCCAGGGATCCTCCAGCTCGGGCCTTCTCTTCCTGTGGCCTGCACAGCGCTGCGCTCAAGGTGCCCCACCCGCGCCCCCAGCTCAACGGGTTTAAGGCAGACCTCGCTGCATTCCTCCCAAACGCTCCTATGTTGTTTCTCTTGGCAAATGACGCCGTCACCTGCCTCCTTGCCCTGGCCAGAAACCTGGGAGTCAGTCTAGACTACTCCTCCCCTCCATTGCCCACCATATCCAATCACTAGGTGCTGTCTCTGATGTTTCCTCGATATCTCCACAGCTGCCCAACCTCTGGAAATCAGCTCCTCTCGGCTTCCCCTTCCCTATCGTCTCCCACAATGATATCAGACGTAACTTTCCCTGAGGCTCATATCTGACGGCATTTAAGAACCTTAAAGTCTGTCCCAGTTCAAACCCTTAGCCGTTTCCCAACCAGGACACCGTCAGGGAGGCGCCGGTTCTCGGCCCACGGAGCCTGGGGATGCCTGGCCTGGCTTCAGCTGCAAGGCAGCCTCCGCTGCCTCCTCCCAGTTCCCAGGACACACAGTGCTCTCTGACACTTTCCCAGCCTTTCCCTGGCTTCCCTCTGTCTGCGGACCTCCCTCTCCTCCTGTCCCTGTCTGCCTGGCCTCCTGGTCCTCCTCCTCAGAGCACTGCACTCACAACCCTCCTCTGGACTCTCTGGGAAGTGGCGAGCTGCTTCTTCCCCGAGGACCCGGGCTCCTACAGAACAGGCCGAACACTTGCTCCAGCTCTGATTCCTTTGCCATCCGTGCCCGTCTCCCCACCAGGCTGTGCGCTCCCTGCAGGCCAGCACCAGGTCTTACCTGGAGATCTGAGCACCAAGGCAGACATTGTACACAGCAGGCACTTAGTGGATGTTAATGAACGCTTGAATGGCCTGCTCTGGGTCGCACCTCCTACCTATAGGAGTCACTCCGCAGATCTGGGCGGCGATCCAGAGACCCCTGTCCTCCTGTCACTGTCTCATTGGCAAAATAAGTTCGCACCGTGATTTCAATGTCCCTTTTAGCACCGAAGACTTCTACGGCTTTCACAGAGCCATGTTGTGGTGCAGACGGTTTCATAAATGCGTCTTCTGTGGATTCTCGTCAAGGAGCCTCACGTGGCCAGGTATTCGGCAGAAAGGCCAGCGTTTCTAAGGTGACTTTGGGAAGGTGGGTTTTCATCTTCCTGCCGTTTGGCTGTGCCAACACTGACACAGGAGCCTCCTAAACTGTATCCTGAGCACTTAGAATTAGCCTAAAGGGCGGGTCCGCTGCAAACTAGGTGTGCGGTTGTGGAAATGAGATCACTAAATCACTCAGTCCTTTCTCCCTTTGGTTCTCCTAGGCCCAGGCCAGGTTGCTAATTAGGTAACTTCTTATCATAATTACCTAGTCAGCCTTAATGGCTTCACACAGTCTGCTGGTCCCTCCCAGGTTCTGCAGGGCCCTTTGCAATTGTTAAAACAGCTGCTGAGTCCCAGCCTGAGGAGGCTGCCTGCCCGGGCCGCAGGGTGGGCAGGCGGGCGGGGGACTGCGGGGCACAGTGAGCACCCCCTGCCCCCCCCCATCAATGCCAAACCCGCCCCCTCCTTCTTTTGCGCACTCGGGTCTCCCTGACCCGGCGACGCTCCGAGTAACCGCGTCACCCTGGGTTTTGTGGCTCAGAGGGGGTCCCTATGGGCCTCCCTTTCCTTCCCTTGGCCCGAGGGAGGTAGGACCGCAATCTGCCCCCGGGACACCATCCGCGAGGGTCCGGGTTTGAGAACGCGGGGTCGCGGGGCGTGTGAGTGTGAGCGTGTGTGTGTGTGTGTTCGCGCGCGCGCACGGCGGCGCGCAGCTGGAGGGAGGGGAGGAGGGAGGAACCGGGGGAGGCAGCGGGCAGCGGAGGGAGGGGCGGGCGGGCAGCGGCGGGTTGGGAGGGCTCCCGGCTTCAGCGGTGACACTCGGGAGCCAACACACTCCTCGCTCGGAGCCGCCAGAGAGCGGAGCGAGCCGAGCCGCCGCCGCCGCCGCCCGTGCGCCCCTTCCCCGCGCCCGCCCCGCCTGCCCCGCACCCCGCGCCCGCCGGGCCGGAGCACCCCCGCGCCGCCCGCTCCACTCCGCAGCGACTTGGGCGGCCGCGCGCCGCAGCCTCGCCGTCTTCGAAGTTCGCAGCGCCGCCCGCAAAGTTGGGGCGCCCAGGCGACTGCTCCGTCCTGCTTTCTGCCGCCCCCGCCCCGTCCCCGCGGGTCCGAGCACTGGGCGCAGCGTCCAGCCGAGGCGGGACGTGGACCGTCGGCGCCCACAGCGCGGGGACAGAGTTCGCTCGCCCCAGGGGGAACCAGCACATTTTCTCCAGGTGAGTGGGGGCAGGAAAGCACCCCCGACCCCAGTGCCTTCGCCCGCACCTGGGAGGGGCACGCGCGCCCCCTCCGCGGTCCCCACCCGCGAGGGCGCCCGCTCCCGGGAGCTGCGGGCCAGCGGGGTGCGGGCGGGTCTCCGCGGCGTCCGGCTGCCTAGTGAGGGGGCGGCCCGAGCGGGGTGCACAGGCGGGGACCCGGGGTCCGGAAAGCCCCAGCCGGGCCCGGACACTCACCCGGCTCGCCCGCGGCAGGGCTGCGCTCCCCCGGGCGCCTGCCCTCCTCGCTGTCTGCGGACTGGCCCGGAGCCCGGGAGCGGGCGGCAGGGCGGTGCGTGGCGGACCGCGCAGCCGGGCGCGGGGACCCGGGCAGCTTGGCCCGCCGACCGCCCGCGCTCCTCTCCGCACTCGCCCTCGGCGCGGCGGGCGGGCGTCGTGCAAGTTCCCGACTGAACAGGCTGGCCTGGGACGGGTCGCGCTTGGCCCCGGGACGGGGAGCCGGGCGTCGCGCCCCATCGGGCCCGCGCGAGGCGGGGTTCGCTCTAGTCGCGAGCCTGCAGGACCGAGCTGAGGGCAGCCGGGGCGCTTGGGGACCCAAATTAGCGGTTCGGTCTCAGCTGTGCCTTCCGCGCGGTGTAGGCTGCTGCGCCCAGGGCGCGCCCTCCTGCCCGCCGCCCGCAGCCCCCTCCTGCTCCACGCCCTGGGCGCCCAGGTCCCCGTGCCGGCCGAACTGTCCCGTGGCGGGGTCGCGGCCCCCCATTCTGGTCCCCTTCGGGGTGCTGTCCCTCTTCTGCTTGGGGTTCAAGGAGCTCCCTGATATCAAGACCTTGAGAGGGAAGTACCTGAGCAAATGTCTCCGGGTTTGATTTTTTTTTAAACTGAGTTGTTTGGAGCAACTTAGTTGGGTTGGTAAAATTTGTTTATTTTTTTTCGGATCCAGCTAAATCACAAAGAATTTATTTCTTCATTAGCTGCTGATCTCTCTAAACACCCTGCCTCCCACCCACCCCCACCCCCACCCCCCACCCCTACCCCTGCCTCGCTTCCGAACCCTTTCGGTTCCCAAGGGGGCTCTCCCACCTCCTTCTCTCCCCCCACCGGCCCTGAGCGCCTGGAGAACCCGGGTTGTCAGTGGAAATCAATAGGGCCCCCTTCTCCGCCCCTGCGCGAGCTGGAGGCTCCCGGGCTGCGAAGGAGAGAGAGCATGGCCCCCCTCCCCAGGAGGGTCCTGAGGGTGTGACGGCCTTGACTGTGTTATCCCCAAAGAGGGGAGGGACAGATGCCAGAGCAGAAACTCAGCAGAGCCCCATGCATTGAAGGTGATTGGTATTTATTATGATTCATTATTGTTTATTGAGAGTGCTAATAAGGCCCTAACCCTGGCTGACGACTGTGTTTATATTTGGTTTTGATTTTCTGTCTGTCTCTTATTACAGCAGTTTCAGAAAGGGGAAATGCCAAAAGGGTATTAATTTCTCACACTCATTCTTCGTAGGGGATGAATCCGAGGTCAACGAGATACTGTCATCGTATCAGGGTTTCTAACCCATGAGCTTTTAGAATATTGCAGTCTTGAAACGTTCTCATTTGTCTCCATCTGGCTTCTTAAAGTTATAAAACCTTGGCCACGTAATTAATTAGAGTCCCAATTCCCATTTTCAATCTAAACCTATATTCAGGATTAGATTAAAATATCACATCATTTATCCTTTACAAGTGACTCTGATGAGTTTAAATTCCTGGGGCTGGGTCAGCTGGGAGCGAGGGGCTCAGAAGTTAGAGAAATTAGTGCTCTTTCAGATTCCTCCCCGAGCCTGTGCTCCGTCCTTTAAAGAAAGAAAGACAAGCGCTTTCCCGGCACAGTTCTCAGCTCCAGTGAATGCCCCGTCTGTGCCACACACTCTGTCCGCATTATTGTTTTCATCTTCTGTCAGGACGTTTTATTCATTAAACCTGTGTGTTGACGTCGCGGGCTCAGCGGGGCAGGAACACTGTTTCCATTAGTAACTACCATGAGAAAGAAGCCACAACTCTGTAATGGGCCGAAATTGCTATGAATTACGTGTGGTTTAAATTACGCCTCTATTTCAGCAGCAATGAAGCCATGAATATCAAACATCTTCTAATCACTTGCAGATACAGCTTTTATCTAAGATGCAACAAAACATATAATTGAAAAATACCCTTCGAAGAGGGAGGGCCGCCCCCGTGGCATTTGTGTGTCCTGGGTCTGTGGAACATCCATGTAGGCAAGTGTGATTGTGAAAGCGTAGACCGTGGTGTATAACCTTGGCCATCCCGAGCTGAGCTCGGGATGCTGTGTTCCGAGTCCCCACGGTGGGTCAACCCTCAGAAAACTTAATGGAGTGACTTCTCCAACTGGCTTTGTGAACTTGGCGATTCAGGTTTTCATTTTGTCACTGGGATCTACTGACCAGACTCTGTGATATGGGGGGAAAATGTGTTGCAAAACTAACAAATTATTTGAAATGAAAGGGGGAGAGGTAGAAATAAAATACATCTGTCTGTTATCTCCCTATGTTCATTTCTGTAGTAGTTTTATTCGGTCTATCCAGAGGTCAGAGTTTTTATTTTAAAACTGGTTGTGTTTGTGTTGTCATGGTCATTAAGACCGACCTGCATGTTTCATTTCGCTTGATGGATGCGTGGGGACTGGAGATGGAATGATGATGCCCGAACAGATAGCATAGGAGTAGTGTGGATCCCCGTGATCTGCGCTGATAAAATGATTTTCATCTTTCTTCCTTAGTTTCCCCAGCGATAAGGTGGCTGATTCTAGTGGCTAAGAAGTGCTGTCACACTGGTTTTGCTCCATGTCTCCTTGTCAGGTCTTGCTTTGGGGAGCCACGCACCCACAGCAGTAGCCTGGTAACGAGTAAACCTTGCCCATGCCCGATGCCATCAGCCAGCCTGTCCCAGAGTCATCTGTCCTGGGTCAAAGGCAAGCATAACCTACAAAAACCATTCAGATTATTCATTTAACCTTGAAACAGTATCTAGAACCTCGACATATTTATTTTGGAACAATGATTCTAAAGAATGTGATTTATTCTTTCCTGTGAGCTCACAATCATTTAGTGGAAGCAACAGCTAAGCAAGTTATAATTGAGTAGTAAATCCATCCTTGCCTGGAAAACTGGCTTCAGAATGAAAGTCCTCCCATATTTACTCCATTTAAAAATACCCCGCGATTTACGGCCTGAAGATGGGCTCATTCCGCTTCAGTTTTCACTGTGTCACGAACGCAGAGTGCACCCAGGGTTCCCGCCGCCAGGCCTCCACTGTTGACGTTCGCTGCTGCTGTTCTGTCGTTAAAAAGAACAACCTACTGTGAAGGAGAGACAGCTGCTGACGCTGTTGCTCCGTGTAGTGGTGTACTGACTGTACGTTCAGTTATATTTCTGGGAAAAACCACACCATCAGAGTGGGAGTCTGTGTGTGGATGTGGGGACAGTTGTCTCCTGCCTCTCCTGAGCTTTCCTGCTCTGGGGCCCACTCGTGCCCAAGTCAGTGCCCAAAGCAGGTGTGTTCTTGGCTGCTTCCTTCCTTCATGCACATCCTATCCCCGAGGAGGCCAGATCCACCTTCCCCTTCTTGCTGGTATTTTACTAACAGCTGCAAACTAACAAATCCGTGCATTCTGGTCTTCTGAAACATTTTGTGACATGAAATATGCAATATTAACTCACCCCAAATAAACGAGGCATTTCTTGTACTGCATTTTTAAAATTAAGAGTGAGGTATGGTATGGAATAGCTTGGTATGGAATAAAAGGGAATTGGCAATGTCGCTGCAGGTTTTTCCCTTTGAGATAACGAGACAGATTTGACCACGTAACAGTAGGATTTTGGGTCCTGTTACAATGTCATTTTTTTTTTTTTCCAGTTTTTTTTATCCTCACCTGAGGACATCTTTCCATTTTTTGTTCAGATGGGGGGGGGGGGAGAGAAACATCAACGTGAAAGGGACACATGGAGTGGCTGCCTCCCGCATGTTGGGGTCAAACTGCAACCGAGGTCCATGCCCTTAGTGGGAACCGAACCCGGGTCTCTTCGGTCCATGGGCTGATGCTCTAACCGCTGAGCCAAACCGGCCAGGGCATTTTTTTTTTTTTTTTTAAGAGTTCACTGAACTAGTCTTGATTTTACCTGCACTTTCAAGTCAGCAGCCCTCGAGTTTATCAGTGTAGAAACTTCCCAGGTCACACGTCTTCATGCCTCCCATGATTTCCAGTTCCTTCAGAAACAGATTTATTTTAGTAAGTTGGTGAATAGTGTTTGGTTTTCATTTGTTCATTTCTTCTTGCGGCAGATTTTGAACCTGACACATATTCAATGCTTCATATATTTCTCTGAAGTATTTATTTTTAGTTTCACTTGTGAAAACTCTGGCTCTTTTTTTTAAGAAAGAAAAATGGCATAATGTATATCGTTAACTTATCAAATGTCTCCTTTAATTATTCTTTTGAGAGAATTAGCTGCCTTTTATATAGTTATGAGGAAAGAAAAACATTTTTTTAGAAATAATAGGCTCACATGAAGTTTGGAAGGAGCACAATAAAAACATGATTACGGCCCTGGCTCAGTGGTTAGAGCGTTGGCCTGCGGTCCAGAGAGACCCGGGTTCGGTGTCCGCTAAGGGCATGTACCTCGGTTGCAGTTTGTCCCCGGCCCTAGTTGGGTCATGTGGGTAGCAGCCACTTGATGTGTCTCTTTCACGTCGGTGTTTCTCTCTCTCTCTCACCCTCCCACTCTATCTGAACAAAAAATGGAAAAATGTCCTCGGGTGAGGATAAACAACAACAACTTGATTGCGCAGGACTGGAAATGAAGCTGTCTGAGCAAACTGGTCACCCTGTCTCCACACTGTGATCACCGAACCACAGACAGCGAGTTAGCAGCCTGTCTGTCTTCCGGCTGGAACGGCCTCAGCCAGCATCACACCGTGGTGCCTGAGTGAAGGAGAAGGCGTCTATTGAA